TCTCTATATCAACCATTTACCATTTCAGAGTTCTTGTCTTTCTGCAGCTCATGGAAAACTACATGACTTTCAGGAGAGACAGGAGGGCAGGTTAAGGTAACAGGTCTACTTGTGCCAAAAGTCAATCACCAAACAATTCAATAGTATTTACCCACTTATTATTACTTTTAAAATAAGTACCTATATATGATAAAATCAATTTTATGGATAAGAATATCAATTTTCCTTAGAAGGACATTGGAAATCTGTCCCCAGAATTTATATATATATATATAGCAAAATAGTTGTGTATTCAAGTGTGGTAAATCTTGGGGCCAGTTTTTCTTAGGCTATCTGCCCCTATGGGATGCTGTCTAGTTGCTCTCTCACTAAAGCAAGCAGTAGGGGGTGGCCACGGTGCCTTCTTGATTTGCAAGCTCTACCTCTCTGATCAATGGGAGATTGTATCGGTCCTACTTTATGCCACATGGATACATCTTGCAGTGGTTGTCTGTTGTTGCCATAACAAATTACTGCAAATTTAGTGGCTTAAACAAGACAGGTTTTCATATAGTTCTGTAGGGTTAAAAGTTCAACCTTAGACTCAGCTGATAAAAGATGGTGTTAGGGCTGTGTTACTTTCCAGAGGCTCTGGTGGGTGGGGGGATTCTGTTCCCTTTCTTGTTTGTATTATTCAGAGAATTTAGTTAGTTCCTCGTGGTTGTGAAACTGAGGATCCAGTTTCCTTGCTGACTATTCCACTGAGGACTGCTCTTAGCTCCTAGAAGACCCTTTCTCCTTGCACATACTATGTCTCAGAACCAGAAATAGGGTGTTAGATTCTTCTTATGCTGCCATCTCCCTCATTCACCTTTCTGTTGTCTTCTTCTACTTTTAAGAACTCATTTGATTAGTTCAGGCTCATCCAGATAACCTGAAATAATCTCCCCATCTTGAGGTCCAGAACATTAATCATATCTGCAAAGTCCCTTTTGCCATGTAAGGTAGTGTATTCACAGGTATCGGAGATTAGAATGTCAACATCTTTGGGGACCATTCTTTTGTCTAACTCATTATTAACTAACAGAGACATCTGAAAAACCCTGACCCATAGGGTGATTAGTATGAATCAATGATAGGACCTAACCCCATGATGCCTAGGCCGGGTTTTACTTTATTATTATTATTATTATTATTTTTTTTTTTTTTTTTGAGTTGGAGTCTCACTCTGTCTCCCAGACTGGAGTGCAGTGGCCGCTCCCGGCCACCGCAGCCTCTACCCACTGGGCTCTGGCGATCCTTCCACCTCAGCCTTCCGAGTAGCCGGTATTACAGGTGCACACTACCACGCCCGGCTGATTTTTTGATTTATTGTAGAGATGAGGTCTTGCTGCCCAGTATTATTTTTAATGACACTTGCAGTTAGGCTTATACCCATACTGCCTTAATTTCGAATTTCTATAAATAGGACTGAAAGACATTATCAAAGATACCCTGGAATCCTGGGATCCCAGCACCTCTCCCACCACCTTCCTTTTAACCCAAAAGAGTAGTGACTGGAATTTAAACCATTCATATCAACTTCAGTGGGCTGTCAAAATCAAGTTTACCTCGGTGTGGAGAGCATGAGACTTCATCATACTTTTCTGTATATCTATTTTATAACACAGTTTAAAAAGAACTAAGCATAAAGGTGTACCATCTTATGGTAACTTAGCAGTACTTTTTCTAGTGTATATTCTCTCTGTACTGTCCAATTTGGCCTTTACTGGAAACTTAACTGCTTCTCATTTGTGCTGTTTCTCCCAAGTGCAAGAAAACCTTGTTTTTCATCTCTTGCCATAGTGCTCAGAGAGAGCAGTTAGGGACAACAGAAACAGGCACCACAGTTTATGTGGGCCAGACAATGAGTCAGTATGAAAATCATAAATGATAAGGGAAGATAGACCAGCCAGAGAAGGGAAAGGACAGATCCCTCAGAAGTGGGGAAGGAAAGGGCTGAACTCCCTGCCCTGATCTGAATGGGATCCAAGCCATGTGAGGTGGTCTTAGACAGAAGTATAAAGAAGAAACATTGCTCATGCCAGAGACAGACAAGGACAGACAAAGATCAAGTGCTGTTTTCAGGTTTATGGGGGGGGGGGTTGTCTTCCATCTTTTTTTCCCTCACAAATGCCCCTGATCATCAATAGCAGATTTTTTTTTTCCTAAAAAGACTCAGAACAGTGTTCCTCAAACTAAAGCAGTACATCAGAGAGCCGTTCTTGAGACCCTACTTGGAAGTATATATTAGAAAATGCTATACCGAGTCTGCCTGAAGAACACACAAATGAATCTGAAAGATTTATATGCTCATTCATGGTAGAAGATTCCCCCTCTCCATGCCCCTGACTAGGACACGTTTGTTCAGTTCTCCTTTTGGTAGGGCATGCCCTGAAACTCTGATGTGAATTAAATGTGCAAATGAACAGCAAGAAACCCTGGAATTATTCCCATAACCTCAACTAGAGGGGAATTCCATTTAGCTTTGTACAGCACCAGATAAGAGAGTAGGGAGGGAATTACATTGTTGTTGATGCCTGTAATAGCATTACATCCCACACCAATATCTGCCTGGGTTAGTGCAGACTTCCAAGTACCTTCATCTAATATCTGCTCTTCATCATCTAGGAGACTATCCATTGGAACCATTTCAAGTTTCAAATTCATAGCTCAGGGACATGCCAAGCATTGTTCAAGAAATTATTTTCTCTCGAGAGTTACAAAGATCTGCACAGATGTGAACTCATTGGGGGAGGGCAATTGGCAGGGAGCAGGTGAGCTCTTTCTCATTAATGGTGAGACTTTAATGACTTGCCTTGATTATGGACCAGAACTCTTGGATGGATGTTATTACAACTGAGCTTGCTCCAGATTTAATTCCTTGGACCATCTGTAGACCAGCCAAGGCGGAGCCATAGTGAAGTCTCCATAGTCAGACTGTATCTTCACATACTTCAAGTTGGCTCACGATGCGATGTGGATATGATAATTTCTACAAGAGTTGTCCTTTTCAACACTTCAGGAACTACAGACTTCGTGATTCATACAGATAAAGATGTTAGGTTTTTCGATTTGCTTTTTTCAGTCTTTCCCAAGAATCTCTTTATATGGACCGAGTGACAACTCATGTCACGGTTGAGGCCAGAACTTTTGCTTTATTTTCCCGCTATTGGATTTCTGAACATCCACAAAATGCAGAATGCAGTTCAAACTTGTTTTCATCTCAATCTAAGATAAACTCAGACCAGCAGCAGGACTGTAGGCATGCTAAGATTCCTATTTGCCTCAGCTATGAAACAATGTGCAATCATTTGTGTTGGTGAGGCTAATCTTATTGACGATGATATCTAGCATACAAATAGCAAGAGATAAATAAGGCTGTGGGTTTGGAAGTCCAGTAGTCCTGAGTCTGCTTCCCTGCCCATCCCTTAACTCAAGCTCAGTGTGACCTTGAGTTAGCTACTTGGCCTAAGTATCAGTTTCCTGATTTATAAAATAAGGATAATGATATCTCTTTGTAGGATTGATGTGAGTTGTATATAATCAATGAATATGAAGCACTTAGCACAGCGCCGGACCCATATTACACTCAAAATGTATTAAATGCTTTCATTATTTTTTGTTAACAAAATAAAATAACTAACCCATCAACTATGAGTTATGAAATACCATGTCTTGCACAAGATTCTTATTTGAGGATATCTAAAAACTTTTTTCAAAAAGGCCATCGCTTGCTTCCTTTGGAGAAAGGCAGAAAAATAGAATGATTAGCACAATTATCCTGACCTAACCCCATGTAATAAGTAGATGTATGACCCAAATATTAGGTTGAATAAATTTGCCTGTGTAATTTGGAGTCCACTGTGTTGTGTAAGGTCATGAATGCGAGGCTTGCCGGAAACCAGTGAATCTAGAATGGTCCTGGAATTCAGCCACACAATGAACAAAGATCTCAAGCAAAACCACTAAGAGTCCAGGCAAAGCAGCACAGCCTGGGGGAGCAGAATTTCCTGGGCAGAGCCCCCTCCTTGGCCCTGGCCTCTTCCCAGGAGAGCCCCACCTCAATGAATACACATTCAAGTACTCTAAGAGACAGAGCAGTTTCACAACCCACTTACTGTGCATGGGCCTTGGGTGGGGTGGCACAGAACTTTCTGGCAGGCTTTTAGACCTCGTCAACAAAACACCTATGAACTCCTATGAGGGCATAAAGAATTCATCCTGGATGTCTCCTATAGAAGGAAGGAGCTAGTCTCCACCCATTCTGAGGTTTGTATTGCATCTGTCTTCTGACACATGAAGGCTGGCACTGGCTTGGAAATACCTCGTAGCATTTCTTGCCGTTAGAAAGGCAGAACGGGTTAGATATGGTTCCAGTACTTTAAGTTCTCAGCACTTTTTTGAATGTCTTTCCTACTGAATGATCTTATGGAGAAAAGAACCCCCCCAATCAATAACTCAATTAAAAAATATCCCTGGATCAGAGGAAGCAGGGATTGGCATGTTATTTCAGAAAGCACAGGGATAAGAAGGAATCCAGTTCTTCCTAGGACTAAGGAGTTGCCTGAAGTTGCCTCCAAAGCCCTTGTTCACAGAATAAAATAGTCCCAATTGTGACAAGGTTCAAAATCTTGTTCAGAAAAGTAGAATGAAGAAAAGTGACAACGATTGGCTCCAATATTTATTTTGAACAAAAATGCTAGACCTGATGAGAGGCAGCCTGCTTGTAATTCTGCCTGACAAATGTGTGAAATAGCCCCCAGTGTATCTGTGCACACGCAACTGCTTGTGAAGCCAGAGCATTTGCCACTACACAATGGAGGGCAAACAAGCACCACCAAAGTACTGAGCTGGGCCTACCCTGCTAGACCAGTCCTTAGTCAATGCCAGTCCTCCTTGTTTCCCCTCTTCACCTCCTCACTCTCCTTCCCATTCTATCCCAATCTCTTTCAAAGGGATTAATTCCTATAACACTTCAGTAGAGAGAAAAGGACTTTACTTGGCGGCTTTGGGTTTACAAGATCGTTGGTGAACAATCAGTCTGTCTGGCAGGAAGGTACGCCCACAAATATTACAGGGAACCAGCTGGCTCTGGGCACTTGTCCAAGCAGCTTCAGTTAAGGCATCAAGATCATAGAAACCTTTGGCTGGGAAGTTAAAGAAAAAGAGGAAAAAAAAAAAAAGAAAAGAAGAAAGAAAAAGGTAAAATGGATCAGTTTTTATTCTGGAGTACCATATTCTACTTTGTATGGAAAATATTTTCAGGAAATACCTGTTGACTGAGGCTTCTAAACAAATCTTATTACTTTTGCCAAAAAGAAGAAAAAAAAGTGCTGCTTACTCTTTCAAGGGCTGAGTAACATTAGCCATGAATTAGAAGGTTTTGACTCCTTGAATTTTTAAAAGGGGACGGCATTATTTTGTGTTATGATATGCATTCTTCACTAATTATTAACATCTTTGCTTACACATTATTATCTTGCAAATATAACTTGGCCTTCCTTCAGTTGACTCTAAATATAAGCTTACAAAGGGGAGAGAACATATATTTGTATTTTCCTTTTCTGTAATTCTTCAGTGGAATGTTTTTAGAGGCCAAATCTGACAGTGGAAAGTGAACTTAAGATGAATTATATCCTAAAAATTTTATCATCTCTTCATGGTCATATATACAGAGATTTTTTAATTAAAGTCAAGAATGCAAACAAAATAATCTGACAGAAAGAAGTATCCTTAAGAAAACAACAAAGACAGCTGAGAAATGTATAATCTTTGTTGGCAGAGCATAGGGGAAAAAGGCATATGGCTTTATTTTAGAGAAACAATGTGGGATTGAACTTTAATAAACCTTATTTAAATAGAATGACTTTAGTACATTAAATTGACTATGTCTTAGAATCGCTCAAAATAGGCCCCCAAATGTAGCAAGGCACTCAGAAATATATTGCTTAGTTTTTATCTTTGGCACAGCCTATATTACTTCATTAAAGCCTAGGCAATTCTCATATGATTTCTATCTAATGGTTCACACAACCACAGTGAACCTTAATTTTTTTTTTAACATGCCTGCACCCAGTGCTCATTTTTCGCTTTATGGGAACTTAAACCCCAGCAAAATCTAATATATCTCCTTTGGACAAAGCTAGTGTCACTTTCTATACAGGATAAAAATGTGTATTTTGGGTGCTTTGAAAACTTTGTTGATAAAAAATTTCATCAGATAATCTAGATTCTACTCTGTGGTTGTTGTAAAACTCTCCTTGAGTCACATCTTTGTTAAGAGTGCTTTGGACTAATTGATGCTAAATGACCTCCAAGGGTCCTTCTAGCACTTTAAATCTATGGTTACATGACACTGACTTTTTCATTACTCATGTGAGTTCTAATACAGACTAAAAAATTCCAGAGTAGTCATTGACTCTTGCTTGAAGGTGATTCATCACATTTCTAAGTGTTTTTGCCATGGGGCTTGACTTCAGACCAGGAGGAAGGGTTATGTGAACTCTATGACTACAATGAGTCCATGAGATGGAGATGGTAATATGAATTCTCTTTGCTAAGAGATGAAGGGTACCCTCAGAGATAAAAATAGCATGGGGCTAAGAGAAAAATGTCCAGGAAGTGCAGATGTAGGATCTACCTTTTTTATCTGTTGATAGTAATAATGAATCCACTAGGGCTTTGAAACCAGTCATTCCTCTCACTTCTAGCCTTGTGATAATTATGGTCAAGCAAAGAAAATGATGAGATTAGAAGGGAAGGAAACAGACTTTCGACACCAGATGAGAATTGGGCAAATGCTCTAATTTCAGTAGATGGAGGATGTTTTTCACCTTGCGCTCTTTTCCCACCTGTATGCAAAGTCTTCCTCTTAGAAGGACTGTGAATAGTTGGGATTTAATAGCATCTAGAATTTCATCAGATAATCTAGATTCTACTCTGTGGTTGTTGTAAAACTCTCCTTGAGTCACATCTTTGTTAAGAGTGCTTTGGACTAATTGATGCTAAATGACCTCCAAGGGTCCTTCTAGCACTTTAAATCTATGGTTACATAAAGAGAATGAAGTGAAAATTAGTCCTCTTAAAACCAAGATTTTCCTTTGTGGTGATTTTGGGGATCAACTGAGAAAATGACAACAGCAGAAATATGATAAACAAGTCTCAGCCTGCCTGGAAAATTATTCAATTAACAATTCTCACACCCTAAATGAATAAGCATAAGGCTCTGTGACAAGGCCACATGTATCAGTGTAGTTCTAGTTTCATTTGGTTTGCAGAATACTTTACAAATTATTAACTACAGACATTTAAAAAATCTGGGCATTTCATGTAGATATCTCGATTTCCAGTTTATTTTGAATTATTAAAAGATACAACCACATTGGACTAAATGACACCACCAGCTGGAACTGGGCAGCAGCTGTCTCCTTTAGAGAGAGCCAGCCCTCTGCAGCTCATCATAGTTCTCACCTCCTCCTTCTTTTCACACATGAACCAGTTTATTTAATTTTGTAATCTGACTAGGACCTTGTGAGAATTTGAATTGGTATCCCTGCTCTCTGGACAGCAAAACATACTCATATTCAGAAGCATGACCCGGCATGTCTCCAAAGGTTTTTCAAAGCTTTATGTTTTTAAAATATTTGATAATATACGAAAATAACTTTTGGGAGCTGAGTGTGGTGGTTCATGCCTGTAACCCCAGAACATTGGGTAGCTGAGGTGGGAGGATTTCTTGAGCCCAGGAATTCAAGACCAGTTTGAATAACATAGTGAAACTTTCTCTCCACAAAAAAAAAAAAAAAAAAAAAATTAGCCAGGCATGGTGGCACATGCCTGTAGGCCTAACTACTTGGGGGGCTGAGGTGGAAGGAATGCCTGGGCCCAGGAGTTGAAAGTTGAAGCTGTGAGCTATGATCATGCCATGTACTCTGGCTTGGGTGACAACATTAGACTCTGAAAAAAAAAAAAAAAGGTAACTTTTTGGAAATACTGTAAATTCTAGTGGGTCCCTCCCATGCACAGTGTTTCCAAGGAATAGTGTCTTCATGTCTCAGCATCTAAAGACAATACTTTGGACAAATATTCCATAACTGTTTTTCTTATTTGGTTGTGGCCAAGGCAAAAAATGTTGCTGATTTTAGTCATTTGAGTAAGTAAGAAAATAATACCTCCACTCTTGTAAGTTTGTAGGAAAAAGTCTCCTCTTCTGTGTTTGTCTTTTTTTCTAGGAACTTACCAGTAATTGTTCTGACTTCTGGTTTTTTAGGTTCTGGTCTCCTTAACTCTTTAGGCAACAAGTTGTTTTCATTATGCCATTTTTTCAGACATTGTGGCTCGTGGATGCTAATGGATTTTGTTCCATATTCACGACCACAAATGTAGCAAACAATTGTTGGTGGATGCCTTACCATTGTTGGCTGCAAGTAACATAAAATATCTGTTAGATAAAGTTTAGATTTGGAAATTATATTTTGACATTATAATACATTCAAATTAGCTGGAAAATCATATGATTTTTAAAAATTCTAACCCTCTGGTAAGTTTCACCTTTTTGACAATTAAAAGACAAAAGTATGTTATCTGAGTGATTGAGGTGGAGATGAGGATGTGGATTTGAGAGGAAACAAAGAAGAGCTCCCGGAATTCTCTATATTGGGTTTATATAAAGTGCATTTTTTTCTTCAATAAATATTGATTGATTGCCTTTTGACTATTATACAAAGTATACAAACATAAACTAGGCATAAATCTTCCTCTCAATAACATCAGGCTCTGGTACACCAATATATCTGAGAAATAAAGAAGTAAATGTCATTGGTGAGTTTATAACGACATTGTTGTGCCCATCAACATTTCCTCATGTCAACAACTTTCTACTGCAAACACTTGTGATTCTTTGCCTTTTTTGATCTGGAGTAGTAGGCCCAGCCCAGAGGCAGGGCAGATAATCAGTCACAGATGAGAACTGGTGGATAAATACCCTGCTTCCTCAACAAGGCTGATTCCATAGTCTTCTAGAAGTCCCCACCGGGATTGTATCATAGTTGCTCATTAACACACTATAGAGGCTTCCTTTTCTTCTCTTCCTCTCCTCCCATTCCTTTACTGGGGTATCCTGAGATCACCTCCCAAATACACTATTTGAACGCAAATCCTTTTTTTAGTTTTCTTGGTTTTTCAGGGAACCAAATATAAAGGAGAGTTAAGGATAAGAAGCAACAGAAAATTTTAGCTTCTGTCTAGGATATAGAAAAGCACAAGAAATATTGCTTCCACCTAAACAGTGAGGATAAATTGGATAGTCTGCAGAGTCATAATCTTTGATGCCATTAAAGACTGCCTAAGTTTGAGGATGGATCAGCAGAACCAAGGAAAAACCTCCCATACTCCAAATCTTATAGTGAATACAAGATAGCAGTTGTCTGACACAGAGGAAAGAGCCGGGAAGCTGAGTATGAACCTCTTTAAGGTACAGGCATGTAAGCACTGTCTATGGATGCTCTCCTACTCACCAGATCTTACATCCAGTAATGTAGGTAACAATCTAATACTAGAGAAAGAAAGGAGCCTTAAAAGAAACTTACCCATTCAGCAACACAGAGCCTGTCTAAATTTGAGGGGAGAGCTGGAAAATTAGGCCTTGCATGGAATAAGAGTGATCTAATGCTGAAGGAGGGGTGGGAGCACTGAGAAAAGCTCCCTTTGTGTTTTGGGCATGTAGTATCTACAGGAGTCTAAGAATGCAACAGGAAAACTGAGAGGTGTCCTTGTATCCAGGTCTTATACCAAGCACAGGCTAGGACAGTTTTCCACTGTGGAAATTTAAAGCCTATAGTGCATGAACATAATAACTAAAGCAAAAATGAAGTCCAAACCCTACTATATTTCAGGTTATGTTGACACCACCACTTATACCAGCAGTCCAACAGAAGAGAAAGCATGCTTGACACTGGGTATGAATATAATTTACCTCAGAATCTACTGTTTTCTTTAGTACAATGTCTAGAATTCAATCAAAATTATGAAGTGTAGGCACTCAACACACACGGAAAATAGGATCCATTATCATTAGATAAATACAGAATATAACCAGTTCAAGATGGCCTAGATAGAATATTCAACATAATAAGATACTTATTTAAAAATAATTATAATAAATATGTTGAAAGAGCTAGGAGAAAAGGTGGATAGTATATGTAAATATATGCCAGTAGAAAGATAAAAAGTGGAGAGAGAAAATTATTAAAGAAAACCAATGGGAAATGCCAAAATGAAAAATGTGATATCAGAGATGAAATATTAATTTGATGAACTTTTCAGTCAAAGCCTGCAAAGAAAAAGGAATCAATAAGCTTGAAGACATCTCAAGAGAGATTATCCAAACAGTTACACAGAAGAAAAAAAGGTGAAGGAAAAAATAGAACAGTCAAAATGGCCTAATATATATATGTAATTGGAGCCCAAATGCAATAAAAGAAATAGAGATAGTGGCTGAGAATTTTCTAAAATTAATGAGATAAAAATGTCATATCCAAGAAGCTCAGAGAAATCTAAACAGGCTTTTTAAAAAATGAAACTAGACACATATAGTGAAACTGCTAGAAACCAAAGATAAACTTGAAAGTAGTCAGAAAAAAACAGAAACAATACATACACGCATGCAATAAAACAATGATTAGAATTTTAGATTATTTCTCCTCAAGGGGGGAAAAATGGAGGCCAGGAAACAATGGAATGACATTTTTTAAATGCTAAAAGAAGAAAAAAAAACTACTGTACTATGTCAATTCAGATTTCTATATCCAGTAAAAATATCTCTCAAAAATAAAGATGAAGCCGGGCTCGGTGGCTCAGCCTGCAATCCCTCGCCTTTGGGAGGCTGAGGTGAGTGGATTGCCTGAGCCCGCGGGTTCGAGACCCGCCTGGGCAGCGAGACCTTATCTCTACAATAAATCAAAAAATCAGCCGGGTGTGGTAGCGCATGCCTATAATTCCGGCTACTCGGAAGGCTGAGGCGGAAGGATCACTGGAGCCCAGCAGGTGGAGGCTGCGGTGGCTGGGAGCGGCCACTGCACTCCAGTCTGGGCGACAGAGTGAGACTCCAACTCAAAAAATAAAAAAAAAAATAAAGATGAAATAAAGATACCTTTGGCCAGACAAGGTGAAAGAATTTGTCCCTGACAGACTTACTCTACAAAAAAATCCTAAAAGAAGTTCTACATCCTGAAATTAAAACAATCTTTTTAAAAATACTATTTCTAACTTTTGTACATATATGTGGCTAAATCTTTTATGAAATTTTTAAAAGAATATCAAAAGACATGGAGTTTATTACATATATATGTAAAGCAAGTTATAGTTAACAAGAGCACAAAGGGCAAAGAGTAAAATTGGCAATAGATTGTCAAACAAGTCTTACATTTTTCTTGAGGTAGTTTAGATATAGAATTGATGAGTTAAAGATGTGTCTCATATATATAATAATTACTAATGCACAAAGACATATAAAGAGGCATAATTCAAAATCAATAGGGAAGATAGAATACTAGAAAAAAATGTATGATGAGTTAACTACACCCAAAAGAAAGATGGGAAAGGAGAAACAAAGGACCAAAAAGAAAAAAATGGCAGAAGAATTAAAACTCCATGATAGTTGACTTAAATCCAAGTCTGTCATATTTGCAGTAAATATAGACTAGAGAATACAATTAAAAGGTATAGATTGCCATACTAGAGGAAAAAGCAAGACCTAATTATATACTGCTTACAAGAAATGCACTTTAAGAACACATCGATACAAACAGGTTACAAGTAAGAAGATGGGAAAAAATAGTCTATGTAAATATTAAGCAAAGGAAAGTTGGTACAGCTATAAAACGTAATTGAAATTCAGAGATTAAAAAGATTTCTTCCAGTTGCAAAGATAGGGGAGTCTTTAAGGAGGTATCTTTTGAAGGATGAGTAGAATTTAGACCAAAGGAATGGGAGGGTGAAGACAGTTATTAGAGACTGAGGGAATAGTCGAGCAAAACCTCAGGGACAGGTACCATTGCAAATAATTCAGCTTTCCTAGTGTTCAGTGTAGCACTGAGAACTAGACTCAGACAGGTAGAGTGCAGCCATGTTGTTAACCACCATGAATGCCATACTAAGAACTGGATTTTATTTTGTAAATGATAGGAACGATTAGGCAAGGAATAACCTATAATTGTGCTTCAAGAGTTACTCAAGAAGTATGGGCAGCATCCTTTTGAGCACTTGAGCATTCACAGCTCTGGGGCTAAGAAAATTATGAGTCTAAGGGAATCCCAATGTTTTATTCTGGGTGACAGGGAAGATGGTGATGCCATTTACAGAAAGGGGGGAAATCATAAAAGGCAAGTTAGGGAAGAAGAAAAACAATTTTGTTCTGGATCTGTTGAGTTTGACATAACTGTAGAATTAAATGTGGATAAGTCCAACCAAAACAGAAATATAGGCCTGCAATTTAGGATTAATAGATTTCAGAGCTATTCACATAGAAAAATATGTTTAAATTCATAAATATTTTATAAAAAGGAAGTATAGAGAGTGTACAGAGAAAAATTCCTGGGAGAATATAATAAGGACATTGGACAAGGAAATCTGCAGTTGGAAAACATGGAGAAAGGTTCAAATATGCAGTTAAAGAAACAGGACCTGGAGATAAAATATTCCATTCAGAATTCCAGAAACATTTCTCGTTTCCAGAAAGATGGTGTCATCAACTTTATCAAATACTACAAAGGGTAGTGAGTGGTTAAAAACAGGCTATTCAATTCAGTTATTAGTAGATTATATACCAGTGAGTTTTGAGAATTTTGCCCCAAAGGAGTGAGATAAGACTAAATTGTTAAGATTAAATTAAAAATTTGGTCAAGGAAAAGAGAAATATACTTTCAAAAAACTTGGAGAATGGAAACTTGAGAGATAAACAAAGTGGGACAGAGATTTGTTGTTGTTTAAAGGTAAGGGTGTCTCAGGCAGAGGACAGAGATTGTAGGCCCAAGATAAAATGGAATAATCAGCAGAGAAAGGTCTCAGAGAAGATAGCAGAAGATGGGATCAAGGGCAGAGTTGGAGGTGTTAGCCTCTGGAGAGCTGGAAGAAAGAGAAAGTAGACAAAGTTAGAGAAAGGCATGTGTAGAGAAGTGAGGAATTGCTGGAGCTCACAAAGTTGAACTTAGTCTTCTAAGCATGAGGCAAAGTGATCTTCAGAAAATAAAGAGATTTGGATTCTGGGAAATAGGATAGTGAATAATGCTGGGATAAGGCACTGGGGGAATGCAGTAGTATTTCATTTAGGGAAGAACACTCACTGAATAATGGAAAATGCCTAGTTAAATGAAGCTACAAGACATTTTGGTGGAATTAAACAACCTTTTTTCAATATGCCTTT